TATCTAGGGAGCAAGATGTCATCTACAGGAGATACCGCACCAGAAATACCATTTAGAATAGCACTGGCATCTAGTGCCTTCAATAAACTGTCCAACATCTGGAAATCAAAGACACTTAGCAAACACACAAAACTCAAGATCTTCAATTCTTGTGTGATTCCAGTACTAACCTATGGATGCGAGAGCTGGAAATCAACGAAAACTCTAGACACAAAAATTAGACAGTTTTGAAAATAAATGCCTAAGAAGAATACTAAATTTCAAATGGTCAGATTTCCGAACCAATACACAAATAAGGCAAGAATCCAGGCAAGAGTATGTGTCTAATTTTATACGAAAACGCCGCTGGAACTATGTCGGCCACGCCCTTAGAATGGATAAATCAAGACTTCCTTACCAAGCCCTCATTTGGACACCACAGGGGAAAAGATCTCGTGGAAGACCAAGGGAAACCCTACGAAGAACTATCATCAGGGAAGGCTCGCTCATGGGCCACTCAAACATCCAAGACCTACAACAGATTGCAACGAACCGCCATGCATGGAGAGTCATGACCTCTGCCCTATGTGCCGCACTCGACACAAGAGGAAAGACTAACTAACTAACTAACTAATATAGTTCACATCGTGTCAGTAGCCTCGACCTTACACGGCTAGACCCGGTACCCACAAGGCGGGCTTAGCCTGAGAGCCAAGGTCATTTTTGACAAGAATAAAACTATGGCTGCATCAGGATCTGAACCTAGAACTAGATCTGTAGGCTAGCCGCTACACCACGGCGCCCCCCATCAATAGAAATAATGAGCAGACAGCAAGGGCCGAGTATTCTGGCGAGCTTCAGCGACTTTGCCGCATAGCAGGGCATCCGATGATATCAAGACAGCAGAAACATAGGTTTTAGTACTAACGCGACATGCAATATATATATATATATATATATATATATATATATATATATATATATATATATATATATATATATATATATATATATATATATATATATATATATATGTGTGTGTGTGTGTGTGTGTGTGTGTGTGTATATATATGTATATGTGTATATATATATATGTGTGTGTGTGTGTGTGTATATATGTAAGAAGCGAAATCAGTAAGTAAGTAACACATGGTTGTTTTAAAAAATAGAGACGATAACAACTTGAAAACCGTTTATATTTGCACACACGCTGTCCCTTAAATGTCTCCCGCCAATGTGAGTTTTCAGTTGACCAAAAACGTGGAATTCGCTAGGAGCCAAGTCGGCGCTGTAAGACGGATGTTCCATAAGTTTCCACCCTAGATGGTTAATGTTCTCCTGAGTTAACCAAGCTGTATGTGATCTAGCATTGTCATGAAGGAGCAGTACTTCAGTCAACAGGCCTGGACGTTTTCCTAGAATTGCATCACAAAGCATCAATACAACTTGACAGTATGATTCAACATTCACATTGTCGCCTTATTTTAATTTTGAAACTGGTTAAAAGCACTCCTCGTCATTCAGATCAATGGAATACCACTAAGAGAGGATAAGTAGCCCACATATCTCAGAGTCACGTAGGATGACAGGTTAACATGGAGAAAACAATCCCAACAGTGCAGCAACCAAAGCCAGAAGTAATATAGTTCTCCTGAGAAAACTAAGTGAAACAACATGGAGAAAACAATCCCAACAGTGCAGCAACCAAAGCCAGAAGTAATATAGTTCTCCTGAGAAAACTAAGTGAAACAACATGGAGAAAACAATCCCAACAGTGCAGCAACCAAAGCCAGAAGTAATATAGTTCTCCTGAGAAAACTAAGTGAAACAACATGGAGAAAACAATCCCAACAGTGCAGCAACCAAAGCCAGAAGTAATATAGTTCTCCTGAGAAAACTAAGTGAAACAACATGGAGAAAACAATCCCAACAGTGCAGCAACTAAAGCCAGAAGTAATATAGTTCTCCTGAGAAAACTAAGTGAAACAACATGGAGAAAACAATCCCAACAGTGCAGCAACCAAAGCCAGAAGTAATATAGTTCTCCTGAGAAAACTAAGTGAAACAACATGGAGAAAACAATCCCAACAGTGCAGCAACTAAAGCCAGAAGTAATATAGTTCTCCTGAGAAAACTAAGTGAAACAACATGGAGAAAACAATCCCAACAGTGCAGCAACTAAAGCCAGAAGTAATATAGTTCTCCTGAGAAAACTAAGTGAAACAACATGGAGCGCTAATGGTAATAATACTGAGGAAAGTTTATCTACAAATTGTACGACCACATCTTGAACACGGACCAACTGCAGGGAGTTCACCATCAAAACCACACTACAACAGTTAGACAAGAACCGCGGTCCAGCACTCAGAGTCATAACAGGCGGGATGAAATCAACACCTATGGCTGTGATAGAGAAGATGGCGATGACCCAAACACTGACAGAACGCAGAGACACCAAGATACTAATACAAGTAGAAACGTTTCTTACCATGCCTGAACACTCTATGAAAGAAAGATTCCAAAATCAAGCAATGGAGCGACTAACACGAAGCAATTTCATCCACCAGGTCAAACGGCTCTGCAGACAAAGTAGTGATCTGTCTGCAACTCATAGCTCTTTAAATGCTGTTCCAGATCAGACCCCTTGGATAGAGGATTATAGGTTGCCAATAGACATCCAGACAGAAGTGAAAAGAGTATTCAACCAGGAAGAAGTTGCCAATAGACATCCAGACAGAAGTGAAAGAGTATTTAACAAGGAAGAACACAACAGTGTACAGCGTAAAACAGCCACTCTCAACTTGACGATGAATAGCCACAGCATCTTTGGGTTCGTGTCTACACGGATGGGTCAGCACACAAGACAAGCAGAACACGGATGGGTCAGCACACAACGCAAGCAGAACACGGATGGGTCAGCACACAACGCAAGCAGAAATGGAGGAGCAAAAGTGTATACTGAACATCCAAATTATACCAGATATACAGCCGAAAATACCTTCAGGAAATTACTGTCACAACTATGATGCATAAGTTCAAGCTGTCAAAAAATCAGCAGAAAAATTGCTAAATCTGTGTCCAATTTAACAACCCGTGATATTCTGGAAAATTATCTGGTATACGGAAACTGCTCTCCAAACTATGCAACTTGTGTAAAGTAAATGTGCGATGGATAAGAAGAACTTGACATTCCCAGGACAGTTTCAGTATTACCCTCTCTGCTGATGGCGTAACCTTGAATTTTTTAACACAAGGCAAAGAAGGATGTTTCAATTGCGTTAAAGCACACTTTGATTCGGACTGGAAGTGATGCATCCAGGAATCATCCCCAGTAATAATCCTGTTCAGTGTGGCTTCTCCTTCATATGCATATCGACAGAGATTCTGCAAGGACAGGCCTAATCGGTTCATTTTGTGTTCGTCCGTCAACTGTCTGGGTGCCTACCTTGACCACACTTTCTTAAATTTTAATCAAACATTCATTATGTTGTATGCTGAAGCATGTGAGCACCCTATTGCAGCTGCTCCAGAGTCAACCGTTATTCGCATGTCACATATAATAATCTCCCCCATCCGTAAACATCGTTTTACCCTGGCTATGTGGCGCTTTACGGGTGAAACATTTGTCAGTCAGCATAATCAGGAAGCATTTCCTTATGAATGTTCTTTTCAGGCAGCCTTTCTGCAACAACAACAACAACAACAACAACAAATGCACAATAGCACGTTGTTCTTGGAGAGTACACTCCGTAAATGAATGCACATGCAGCACCTAGCTCTACCTAACGAACAAAGAGATATAGTTCGATTCTGCTGTCATGTACTGACACCTCTGGGAACAACCAACTACATTTTCTGGCTATCCTATAACCATTGTTAGCTTATTTATTGACTCCCCTATACATACACACACACGCTCATACACACACACACACACACACACAGATATATATATATATATATATATATATATATATATATATATATATATATTTCAAAGCGATTGACACAGACTGACGGACAGACAGACAGACAGACAGACAGACAGACAGACAGACAGACAGACAGACAGACAGACAGACAGACAGACAGACAGTGCTAAAAGGGGTAGAGGTAACGGAGTGAGCAGGGTACAGAGAGGATGAGTAGGACTGACAGAAACAGCTAGGGACAGACGCAGAAAGAGACAGACACAGGTTCAGACAGAGAAACAGACAAATGGACAAGGATAGAAACCGACATACAGAAAGACATGGAACCGATAGAGACAACAGACAAACAGACATGTTGTTCCGTTTATAAAGCTTTAACTGTATGTGACCTGGTTTGAAAAAAGTAGTCCTGTCCTACTTAAACTTGTGTCAGTTTACATATCTGAAGGTCAAGTTTGTTATACATGCCTGTCATTTCTGGATAAGGTAAATGTTCAGATTGTTATCAAAACACTTGGAGCTCGCAATCTCCCGTCAACTGATTGAGGTTTTTGGCATGCAGGTGCTTCTGTGTGATGTCGGAGTTGGACATACCATGACTGGATCCGTCACCGCATACATGTGGCCTGGCGAAACGGACAGCCGGACCATGTCTAGACTGTCTACTCATTCCACAGATGGTTGATCAACTTGTGGCCCACAGAGACTATCGCCAGCAGCAAGTTGCGCTGAACATTACAGTACCGTAATCAGGGTTCGTGTTCTGACATTGCTAGAGCAATAGCGGAGGACGACTAGAATATGGTGGTGGTGATGAGAATGAAGAGGATGAGAGAAAACGGGGAGGATAGAATGAGAAAGCGGAGGAAGGATGTGAAATAGAAGAAAAGGAGGGGTGGGGGGCAGAAGGAGAAAAGGGAGATTCTGCTGGAAAAAGGATGAAGGGAAAAGAGGGAGGGTAATTAGAAGACGACGGAGAAGGAGCAGGAAGAGGAGAAGAAGAAGATGTATATTAAACAGGCTAGCCTCTCCTGCTGCCGGCTGTTTAGACTGACCATTTGATGGCAACTTGAAACAACCGGACATGACATGGGACTTTTGGGCAGCCCATCCCAGTTGAAAACGGCATGTTTTATATTAATGTTTTCATTGCAATTGTATGCAAATGTGTGCAATGCACGCTTGGGTGGACAAACAGGAACATCTCTGTTACCTGAACATCACGAAGTCCTGCTCGCGACGTTATATTTACCTGGTGTCCGGAAGGCCCCAAGTCACTCAAGCAGATCTGCCTGTCTGTATGCTGCTGTAACAGTTTCTATTTACAAATGTGGACTAACACAAGGTGCCTTAACTAGATAGTGTTTGATTAAATCATAGTTGTATTACATGTGATAGTACTGAATTACAACATCTCTATCCTCACAGTTAGACTTGTGAAGTATGTATCGTGTGTTGTAGAGGTCCAAGTGTTCACCTTCCAGTGTTGTATTCGCCACTCACTTAAAATACAACATTCCATTAGCTGGAATTTTTATTACGTGTTTGTGATAGTAGTAATACTGCATTTCACCCCACCAGGACATCACACAAACGATAAACACCTGATGAAACAAAGTGCCACCATGTGGGTGAGGATCACCGTGGAGAAGTCACAGATACCGCGTTCAGCCATTAGACCATATTTATGGCCGGGCTATATTGCGGCCCCTAGCAAGAGCCATTATGGGGCTTCAAAATAACGAAAAATTGCATCTCACAAGAGGATGACCAACAATTATATGTTTGTGATGACTGACTGACTGACTGACTTTCTACCCCACCAGGACATCACACAAGCGATAAACACCCGATGACACAAAGTACCACCATGTGGACGAGGATCACCGTGGAGAGGTCCCAGAAAACCGCGTTCGGCCTTTAGGCCACATTTATGGCCAGGCTATATTGCGGCCCCTGGCAAAAGCCAGAGTAGGGCTTCAAATAAAGAAACATTTCATCCCAAAATGGGCGGGAAGTTACTGACATGTTTGTGATTGCGAGAATCCGATATTTAGCCATTCTGGTTAGTAAAAATATATTCAGTTTTAAACCCGGGTTACACCGAGTTCTGGAACAAAGATTTCTATCTGGATGGAGGTCGCTAGTGTCGTTGTTGCTGTAGCTGATGGTAGTGATGGTGACAATGATGATGATGAATATGGAGGATGTAGGAATTCTATTGATGCCAGTCGTTGTCTTGTGTGCGACTTGAGCACAGCAAGACTTTTTTCTTCTTCGCTTTCACCAGCTGTACACTCTGGCAGAAGGTTCTGGTTACTCGTCGACTACTGAACTGCAGTGCTGCTCCAGAAACCTGAGTGTTGCGTGTGCATCAATTTTACAGATCTCATTCTCTTGAATACAGACTGTTGGTTCCTTGCCTCTCCGGCAGATGCACTCCGACTTCAAAGGAAGCTCCCCCAATTAGTCGACTCTTACGACATGCTTTTGGGGAGGCAGTGGGTCCATTCTTGTTTTCCCCACAATGGGGCCCCGGAACCCACACGGGGGACACACCAAGACTGACCACTGTGACCTGGCTCTATCAGGGGACACAACCAGTATACTTTTTCTGAGCTGTAACTCAGCTCTCCAAACAATGAGTGCCAGATTTTGGCGATGGTCGCCATGGACAATTACTGGGGTTCTCCCGTTTGGTAGATTACTACCCGCTACAATAAGATCTTCCTTAGTGTAAAACGCTGCACAAATACATCGGTGCCACTGTGCCCTATCTCGTCACCACATTCATGCAGCAGATCTTTGCGGAACAAAGCTCTCGTCATTACCCCTGAGAAAGATTCTCTATCCGTGACCATGTTGTCCACTATACTAATGTTCAGGTCTAAAGTGCCTTCAACCTCCCGTGTCCAGACCCTGTGTGTGGAATCTTGCTTCCCGTCACTGTTCTGTCGAAACCTGTGTGAAGTTTAATAAGCTGCAAATATTTCAGTTTCGTGTGCTGTGTCAGAGCTGGTTTAAGTCAATGATTACTTACAGAGCTGGCCTGTATTTGAAAAACCAGTCGGCCACTGACAGGCGATGTGTTCATGGTACATCGGTTAAAACTGCACCGTGTTCTATTTCCTCCCGGTAACAGAACGAACAGTCAAGACTTCTCCAGTGTGCACTTTCTCGTGTGCTGTCATTTATTATACGCCCAAGAATGTCATAAATGACAGTGAGGATAACATTCTGTGACAGAGACAATTTATTACAAGACACAAGTGGTCATGATCGCACAGAGACAGGAGACACCAGTGCCGAATATATCGTCACTTCGTTTCTTCTTCTGTTGTTTATGGTCTATCGGACCATTTACTAATTTAGTGAATCTTTTTTTTTTTTCTGGCCACCCCCTACATGCTCTTATTGGAGTCTGTGTCTAAATATCTTCTCCGTCTGCCTACAAATCTGTCGTTTTGATCTTCCCTAACATTTTAGGAACCATGTTTTGTGCGGAATCAACCTGAGAGCCCTGGTTATTTTTTTTATATCTAAGAGGACCCTCAGTCTATGGATAAACCCCACTAAAGAGGTTTCAAACATTGGCCGGAATGTGAACCCAGTCTGTGGATAAACCCCACTACAAAGGTTTCAAATATTGGCTGGAATGGGAACCCAGTCTGTGGATAAACCCCACTACAGAGGTTTCAAACATTGGCCGGAATGGGAACCCAGTCTGTGGATAAACCTCACTACAGAGGTTTCAAACATTGGCCGGGAGGGGAAGCTAGTCCGTGGATAAACCCCACTACAGAGGTTTCAAACATTTGCCGGAATGGGACCCCAGTCTGTGGATAAACTCTACTACAGAGGTTTCAAACATTGGTTATGATGGGAACCCAGTCTGTGGGTTGATCCCGCTACAGCAAATGTTCTAAGATATTTGATAGACCTCGCTTATTTCTAACGACGCCCATTCCCTCGCCTCTCTCGCTGGAACGCACTATAGGGCTAACGTTATCTGTTACTTTTTCCTCGTTTTGCTCAGAAAATAAAACCCTTCCTTGGTTCTGCACAATTTTGTCTATCAAATTTTACTGTCGATCGTTGCTGGTAACAGTAATTTGAAGATCATGGCATCAAGTCGACTTGTAACTGTAAGCTCCACATCTCAGCGCGCAGATTACCGAGATAACTTGATATAAAAGACGAACAAAGACAAGCCGGATGTTTTACCTAAAGAGATTTTGGCAAATTCCAAACCGCAAGAGCTACAGATCTTGTTCAGAAATCGCCCCCGTGTGGGTCACGGGACCCCATTGTGTGGAAGAAAAGAAAAGACCCACTGCTCCCTAACAAGCATGTCGTAAGAACTGACAAACTAGGGGCTTCCTTCAAAGTCGGAGTGCATCCGCCTGAGAGGCAAGGAACCAACAATCTGCGTATAAATAAGGCACAATGGATGTGCAAGCAACACTCAAGTTCTGAACAAATTCACACGTCTATTCAAAGCTCCCGGTGACCTTGACACTGTGCTGTCGGTGGCCTTGACACTGTGCTGTCAGTGGCCTTGACACTGTGCTGTCGGTGGCCTTGACACTTCGCTATCGGTGGCATTGACACTGTGCTATCGGTGGCCTTGACACTTTGCTATCGGTGGCCTTGACACTGTGCTATCGGTTGCCTTGACACTTTTCTCCCAGTGGCCTTGACACTTTTCTCCTAGTGGCCTTGACACTTCGCTTCCGGTGGCCTTGACACTTTTCTTCTAGTGGCCTTGACACTTTTCTCCTAATGGTCTTGACACTTCCCTCCCAGTGGCCTTGACACTTTTCTCCTAATGGTCTTGACACTTCCCTCCCTGTGGCCTTGACACTTTTCTCCGAATGGCCTTGACACTTCGCTCCCGGTGGCCTTGACACTTTTTCTACTAGTGGCCTTGACACTTTTTTTTCCTAGTGGCCTTGACACTTCGCTCCCATGGATATCTGTTAACAACGGCTTGTGGAGATGATTATTTGTATCCACTGGCTTGAGCTGCCGAGGTCGACCCATTCTAACAATTTACAGGGAAATTCATTAGGAAGTAAAGGCAACCTAATACTGATATAATCTCCAACTGAAAGTCGTTTGGCGATAAGAAGGAACAGATCACCATATACTCAACATGCAGTTTGTGTCAAGGGCGCCCTTACCTGTTCCCCAGTCGTACAGAATAATGTATGTAAGTGTAATTACATAACCGAGATGTGTACCTTGTATGATCATCAAGTTGGCGAAACGCCAAAACAAACTTCATTTGTCACTGATGACACTTTTATATTCGGGTCGATACTAAGCGATACCGTTTTTGCATTCCCATACATACACACGCCATAAAGAAGGACCCACGGCAAAGAACAGCCAAATCAGGCAATTGTAATAGGGGCTATAGCGTTGGTTTTTACGTCCGGGTACTTCAGTTTTGTAATAATTCAAATATAAACGACTACAAATATGTTCCTGTTGCAGATAACCTCGGAGTGAAAGAGCGCTGCTTGATGTGGTTCAGTCATTGCTACAATCTGCTTGTATTGGTCAGGTAAGGGGAGCTGTGTGCTCGCCGTTTCAGCCTGTTAGTTTTGTATCAGGACTGCGTTGGAAAATATCTCTTCTTTATGAAACAGGCAGTGAATTTAATATTACATCTGCCTGAGCCATCTCTATATAAGCCACCAAGCCTAAGTATTATTGTTTTTCCATGAGTCACCAAGAACCATTTCTGTATGTGCCAACCAGCAAGTAAAGTAACAATTCTATGTGAGTCAGTCAAACGACATAGTGTCTCATTGGTAAGAATCAACGAGCGGCTCTTGTACTAATTCTGTCTGAGTCAGCTAATGGAAGTTATATCTTGTCTATGGGAAACAGTTTCATGCGTGAGTGACACTACAATAAATATAATATCCGTCTGGGCTAACCAGCTGGAATATTATCAAAGATTTTTAAACCAACAAGTCAGAGAAACACAATTTCAGTTTGGGTCAGATGGCGAAGTTGCCATCTCACCTGAGCCAACGATTTCATGGCGTTTTCAAGTCTCCACCACGAAGGGGAAATAACGTAGCGACTGATCAATCGACCTAAACTGTGACAGTAACATAACCTCCTGGCCCAATTGTGTCGATAGATAAGTCTACTACCTGGAGCCAGTCTGTGGACCACCAGTCAGATATACTGGAGATAATCAGGATTACATCTATCTTGTCTGAATCAAAGAGCAGATATGGTTGTATACATGTGAGCCAAATACTACAAATGGGATTATCTTCTGGGTCATTCATAATAAACTGTGGCATGAGGTGATCTGTGGGAACTCATCTTCTCGTCTGAGATACCAGTGAGAAGAAAGGCTCCATTTGCTTTCACGATGTGGCTTGAAAACGCCAGTCCTTGTATACATTGGAGGACATCATAGTTCTAGTGCAACAGCTTCTAAAGCAGCATCTATACCAAGCGAATCACGAAGGCCGAGTACTGTTTCTACGTGGGTATCCAGGATGTCCGACAACTCGACCACTGGTCAGCGGAATTACACCAGAGCTGACCTGGAAGCCGTCAACGATGAACGAGCTAGGACGCTGATTCCAGCGATGACCATTCTGGCAATAATGATGTTGGTGGGTATCGTGGGCAACGGTCTGGTGTGTTATGTCTTCTGTTGTCGACTCAAGCCTGGGACTCAAAACTTTCTGATCGTGTGTCTGGCCGTGCTGGATCTGCTCAGTTGTATCGTCGGCATGCCCAATGAGATTGCTGATATGAGGTTCTACTACATCTTTGAGTCTGTAGGTTCCTGCAAGATTATGAGGTTTGTACTTGTTTTATTTTACCACTGAGTTGAGCGATTATTGCATGTTTATGATGGCGGAAAGTGTTTTATTGCATCGTTTAGTTCAGAGATTACTGCAAGATTATGAAGGTTGCATGTATTTTATTTACTCATGTGTTAGCTAGTTATTGTGAGATTATGAGATTTGTGTGTGTATATGTGTGTGTGTGTGTGGTGCACGCGCGCGTGTGTGTGTTATATTGCTTTATTGAATCCATCATTGAATCCATCATTGAATCCATCACTGAATCCATAATTGAATCCATAATTGAATCCATCATGTAATCCATCATTTAATCAAACATTGAATCCATAAATGAATCCAGAGATTTTTCTGCTTCTTCATTTTCTTGTTTGTATTTATGTTTCTAGCTGGTGCAGCCGTGTGGCGTGAGTTTCAAATTGAACTATCTATGACACATATGTTCTTTAATGTCATGACAGCAAACTATCCAACACCCTTCACCCTGCTCACATCTGTTACCTTCCTACACATCTGTTACCTTCCTACACATCTGTTACCTTCCTACACATCTGTTACCTTCCTACACATCTGTTACCTTCCTACACATCTGTTACCTTCCTACACATCTGTTACCTTCCTACACATCTGTTACCTTCCTACACATCTGTTACCTTACACATCTGTTACCTTCCTACACATCTGTTACCTTCCTACATATTTGTTACCTTCCTACACATCTGTTACCTTCTAACATATTTGTTACCTTCCAACGCATTTATGACAGTTTAACTTTTGTTTCGTCACAGCGTGCTCCAGTTTACTTATCCTGATGTGCCAACAGAAAAAGTTGTTAAGTCAAGAATTGACATCACAGTATTCTCTCCAGGCCATAATAACCCACATTCTCTTCCTACTTCATTACTTGTTCCCAGTGGGCCTTGCCTTGTCATGTATCACTTCGCCAGCCACTGGTGCAGATCCAGCTAATCTGTCTGCCTGTTCATTCCCCAGCACGCCAGCATCACCTGGAGGAAAGACCTAAAGTATGCTCACTGACCATGACCTTCCCAGTGAAGCTTGCCACTCTGCTCGAAGCATCCCTGGCTTCACCTTTCTCAGCATGCTTTCAGAGTCTGTTAAAAGTACGACATGTGTATGCATTTTGTTCTCTAGCCACCGGAAAGCTGCAGTGACCGCCTCCATCTCCATTCTTACGCTAGATGTTGTGGTACCATATGCTAGGCTGTCTTGCACTAACGATTTTCCATTGGCTTTCGATACGAACCCCCAGGCACTTATCTTTCCTCTCATTACCGAACCATCTGTATAGATAATCAGATCACCTAGGCGTAAATTGTCGTAAATCAACTGTTGGACTTCTACCTCCGTAGCACCTGCTGGCCATTCTCTGCACTTCCGGCCCAATGTGATCATAACCCTACACAGGTCAGACTTTTTCTCTGGTAATCTGACCCACTCCCCTCCTCGCCCAATGTTCTCCAGCAAGCATACTTTTCTTACTATGTCTTCTATTTTGAGCCATCCATGATTTTTCCATTTCCATTTTCAGCCTCTTACCTTACTTGCATCCAGAGCTTCATACAGGTCTGCGGCTACTCTAAGGTATGACTTAACCTGCAGCACCTAAAGCCTATCTGCAATAGTCTGAAATGCAAGGATTGTATCGCATGCACACAATCGGAGTGTCTCTTGTACATCCCAGGATCAGCCGCATAGCTTCATTCTGTATACGCTGCAGTTTCTCTAGCTGTCTCTTCGAGACAGTGAGTAACCACAGTCGATAGTCAATCACTGAGATGATTAAGTATTGGTAAAGTGTGAACAGCATTCTCTGCTCCATGTCCATTGATACCATAATCTTTAGTGCATTAGGACCTTTTTGAGCCTTTGTCCCAACCCTCTCTATGTGATACTTGAAAGACAAGCTTCTGGCAAAGGTGATTCCCAGGAACCACAGTCTGCTATATCTTCTAATATCCCCGCCATTTACTTTGTGGCCTGAAACATCAACCACAACAATAATATTGTCCAAGGAACAACACAGGACGGTTGCCTTTTCTGGGTTGATTATAGCATATGAGCAGGGGAGATCTCGGAATCAAATAGTTCAATGGTTACAGGCGACAGTAGATAAGGGGGTCGACTGGTGTACAGAGATGCCAACAGAAAGAGGAGCATCTACTTCTGTTCATAGTAATAACTTTTCTTCGTAAGTTTCTCTAGTCTTAAGAAACATCTTCCTTTTCTAACCTGACAATGGTATTCCAGTCATTTCTGTACAGAGCCACCTGTTGACAGTAAGGGATCCACAGCCGTAAATACGCGCTATTGGGAATAATGGTAATGATGACGTTTACGATGAAGACGTCGATGATGATGACGATGAGGATGATGATGATAGATTAAAGGGAGCTCACTCTAGTTGTGAGGCAAGGCCACCAGGTGTGAGACACACGACAACGGTAATGAAACGGTGCACACAGGGAATGTGACATAACCGATTACCATACTTCTGCTATGGGTTATAAATACGTCCTAAATAACACACGCACACACTGTATAAATGCCTGGAACTAAACATACACACAACACACATATAAACATACATAATCACACAATAAACACAGATATACACACACACATACACGCCTTAAAAGTCTCAGCGACACAGCATACAGACACACACACAATACAGCACACACATAAAACACACACACACATATATATATATATATATATATATATATATATATATATATATATATATATATATATATACACACACACGTATACACACTCCGTTACAGTGTCTGCGATAGCCCACACACGCCTATATATACGCAAACACACACACACACACACACACACACACACAGGCTCACGAACTCCTACACGCACATAAACAAGCATACATACACAGCGTGCAATTTATTGTAATCAGCTACAAGTTTTAAAAAAATGCAATAGGATAACGAACAGGATGAGTATGGTTCTCCTGGCCCAAGAAACAAATGAGACAATATACCATTACCAAGTTACCACAAATAAGTTACCACAAGCAGATAACCACAAACAAATTACTACAAACGAGTTACCACAAACAAGTTAGCACAAACAAATTACTACAAACAAGTTATCACAAACAAATTACTACAAACAAGCAGATAACCACAAACAAATTACTACAAACAAGTTACCACAAACAAATTACCACATACAAGTTACCACAAAGAAATTACTACAAACAAGTTCCCACAAACAAATAGCTACAAACAGGTTACCACAAACAAATTACTACAAACAAGTTACCACAAACAAATTGCCACAAACAAATTACCACAAACAAGTTACCACAGACAAATTACCACACCGAAGTTACCACAAACAAATTACTACAGACACGTTACCACAAACAAATTACCACAAACAAGTTACCACCGACAAGTTAGCACAAACAAATTACCACAAAAAGTTACCACAAACAAATTACTACAAACAAGTTACCACAAACAAATTACCACAAACAAGTTACCACAAACACATTATCACAAACGAATTACCACAAACTAATTACAAGTATATTTCAGGTGATAACACCATTCAGCATGCTAGGATAATGGTTATAACATTAACCTGCCTCCGCGGTGGCCGGGTGTTTAATTCGCCAGACCGCCCGCACTAGTGTTGTTGGTTAAACCTGACTTCCTTGGGGTCCGGGTTGACGCCAGAGGGGAGGCAGAAAAGCCACATTTCTCAAAGATTTACGGTATATATCATGGAATCAAGGCCGGAGGGTTGCGACATCCATAGTATAGAGCCAAAGGGTTTAACAACTAATGGTTTCTAGATATTTAACATTTGTGATGTGTCACTGTGGGTCATATTAACAAAATGTCACAAAATACTTCGAAATAAAACTGAATCAGAAAAAAACGTGAGCATGAGATGAAGTGGAATGTTAAACTCTGGCAAACGACGGTAAAGAGAACAGTCTGCCAAATATATGGACGGACACTCCTACTCTAGTCTTTCAAACTGGGGCCGGGCGGAAGGGGGCGGAGAGGCGCACTTAACATGGTACACTGACGTCAACATTGCAGCGTATTTATTTTCAATACATACTCATTCACTTTTGTCTCGGTTCAAAATTTAAAATATTGATGCACAACTTAAAAAGAAAAAGCGCTAGAGCATCGATCATGGTTACAAAATACAGTATGTATTTTTTTCTTCCCGGCACTGGTGGAACTACCAAATATTACAACAATTTCAGTTCGGCAACCCTGGTTATGACACCATTACACAACCGTCCTCTCTACTCCGCAGGTTCATCAACACGTTCTGTGCTATCGGCTCCATCTTCACCTTGGTGGTTATCGCTGTCGACCGCTACAGGAAGATCTGCAGACCGCTTCATGGACAACTACAGATGGTCCACGTCCGCCTGTCACTGATCCCGGTGTTTGGTGGCGCTCTGCTCTTTGGCTGGCCGGCGTTCTTTATGTACGGGCTTCGAACTACAGAAACCGACATTCCCGGACTCTTTGGCCAAGACTGCTCCACTCCAGACAACATCAGCGAGACCGTGTTTCCGCTTCTGTACAACTGCATCCTGTTTCTTTGTTTCATCGTTCTGACAATCTCCATTGTGGTTATCTACACTCTGGTGCTCAGAGAGACAAAACGACACAGTCGGTACCTCAAAAGAAATTCAGATTTCAACATTCCTTCCTCGGGCTTTTACAACTCAGAAGAATCGTACTCAAGTGGAGAAGCTAACCCAGTAGACCCCACGCCTGCTGGTCCGCACAATTCTGCTGAGACAACAAGACCAACAGTTCAGATCGAGCCTGGCCCTGTTTCACCTGTAGCCAAAATAACGCAAACTCCAGCAGTGTACCCACAGCTTATAAAAGTAACAGCGTTATTAGAGTCAGCTAGCAATGAACCAGAAATGTGGGATTCACAGTCACAAGCAACCGTGACCGGTGCACTAACTGGTTGTGATGACACAAACAACACACCACTCTACCCCACACATTCAGCTTTACCATCGACATCAGATGACATCCAGTTAGCGCCCAACTCTTCCCCGATCATCAAACGATCTAGTTTAGTGTCCAGCAATGGAAGTCGCAAGAAAGGTTCTCGTGTAGTTTTGTTTAGTGACAGTCAGAAGAACAGTATAAAAATACGTAGACGACTCAAAAGTAAGACTACAGCGATTGCCTTTACGGTGAGTGTGGTGTTTATCATCAGTTTTCTTCCTCATCTGTGTCTTCAAGTAACCAAGTTTCTAGTGAAAGGGTTCGACACCCATCTCGAGGGTTCGGCGTTAGTGGCCTACAACTTGTTCCTCCGGTCCTACTTCATCAACTCAGTCTCCAATCCTTTCATTTATGGAGCTCTCAATGTTCACTTCAGTCGAGAAGTCAAAGATTTGATCAAGAAAATAATTACCAAGTCCTGAATTACTGTGGTGATGTTCAAGTGTCATACCAAAGATGATTGTGTTCCACATAAAAAGTCAAAGATGACAGAATATGTTGGATATCGCAAGTACTAGATGACTGTGATTATGTTCCACAGATAAAGTCAAAGATGACAGAATATGTTGGCTATATCAAGTACTAGATAAATGTGAGCGTGCTCCACAGATAAAGCCAAAGATGAATGAATATGTTCCATATCTCAAGTAGTAGTCTACACAACAACTATGGTGATTACAGGCAGTAACTTCTCGGCTGAAACCTACAAACAAATCAAGAAGTGGAGTTTGCCCTTCAGCTCGGAAAGGGAAATTCTGGGGTTGTGTAGTAACAACAACTTTCTGCAACGAAAGGTCGTGTTTTCCATTTGTACCGAGGGACTTAGTTTGGTTGAGCAAGTTGGTGTCTAAATGATGGCATTCACAACCTCGTGCTAACTCTGTAGAGAATAGGAATCACGCAATATATTTTATGTATAATATATGAATGAATGAATGAATGAATGAATGAATGAATGAATGAATGAATGAATTAATGAATGAATAAATGAATAAACGAATAAATAAAGCCTGTTGATATATTTCCTGTCATAAAATACTCATACGAAACGACACCAGAAAATGTGGTGAATTTCTGCGATAGAAATTTGTCCAGCACTTGGAAGTTGTCCAGCACTTGGAAAGTTGTCCAGTACGTGGAGAATTGTCCAGTCCATGGAAAGTTGTAAGGTACATGTAAAGTACAAGGAAGTTTTCCAGTACTTGGAAAGTTCTCCAGTACTTGGAAAGTTGTCCCGTACATAAAATGTTGTCTAGTCTTGGAAAGTTGTCCGGTACATGGAAAGTTGTCCAGTGCATGGAAAGTTGTAGGTACATGGAAAGTTGTACGGTACATGAAAAGTTGTCCAGTATATGGAAAGTTGTCTAGTATATGGAAAGTTGTCCGGTACTTGAAAAGTTGTACGGTACTTGGAAAGTTATCCAGTTCATAGGAAATTGTATAGTACAATGTGGCGGGACGCCCCTGTTATCGACCAGGGAATGATGACTGGCACTGCATGTTTCCGTACATAGAAAAGTTCAAAGGAAAATTAACCAGTGTACGAAGGGCGGTGTGTGCGCTAGGTGAGGACTTGTCCTCCATTGAGCGGTGACAACCAAGAGGACGAATAAGAGAGAACATCGGAATAAACAATACGGGACATAGCTATGCGGGATTGATTAGCACTCGTAGAACACGAGATTGTCGTGTTATTTCAGTTAGCAGCTGGTATTTCCTAAAGACTGCACTTCATGTCATGCTGAGTATATAACTACTGGACGTACATTTGCCTAGAAAAACCACACAACAGTCAGGAGCTGTTGGGGTTGGTTCTGCAACGTCCTGTAAAGGATACGTAACTAACCTTTATATTATATTCTAAGCTGTGAAAACTTTGTTTCTGAAAACTTTGTTTCTGAAAACTTTGTTTCTGATTAATTAATGCTTCCTATAACTTCTCTGAGGGCTCATCAAACTTGAATCTGTGCACCACATCAAAATTACTTGAATGCTTTTTTTGTCATGAGTAAATTTGCTTGCCTGTTTTGTGTCATTTTAAAATATGCCAAAGGCACACGTGTATATTACTACTGCAAATGTGTCAGAATAAACTCTTACTGTTTATGCAACAAACAGTCAGGAGCTGTTGGGGTGAAGGTTCTGCAACGTCCTGTAAAGGATACGTAACTAACCTAATCTATATTATCTATATTCTAAGCTGTGAAAACTTTGTTTCTGAAAACTATTTGTTTCTGAAAACTTTGTTTCTGATTAATTAATGCTTCCTATAACTTCTCCGAGGGCTCATCAAACTTGAATCTTTGCACCACTTCAAAATTACTTGAATGCTTTTTTTGTCAGTTTTAACATAAGTAAATTTGCTTGCCTGTTTTGTGTCATTTTACAATATGCCAAAGGCACACGTGTATATTACTACTGCAAATGTGTCAGAATAAACTATTACTGTTTATGCAACAACACCGTTCTAATTGCAGCAATCAGGGTTGTATTTTGCTTGTGCAACATGTGCAGCTGCATTTAGAGACATTTTGTGAAGTTGTGCTGTTTTATTTCTACCTACATATTATCTGTCTATCTATCTATCTATCTATCTATCTATCTATCTATCTATCTATCTATCTATCTATCTATCTATCTATCTATCTATCTATCTATCTATCTATCTATCTATCTATCTATCTATCTATCTATCTATCTATCTATCTATCTATCTATCTATCTATCTATCTATCTATCTATCTATCTATCTATCTATCTATCTATCTATCTATCTATCTATCTATCTATCTATCTATCTATCTATCTATCTATATCTATCGATCTATCTATCGATCTATCTATCGATCTATCTATCTATCTATCTATCTATCTATCTATCTATCTATCTATCTATCTATCTATCTATCTATCTATCTATCTATCTATCTATCTATCTATCTATCTATCTATCTGTCTGTCTGTCTGTCTGTCTGTCTGTCTGTCTGTCTGTCTGTCTGTCTGTCTATCTGTCTGTCTGTCTGTCTGTCTGTCTGTCTGTCTGTCTGTCTGTCTGTCTGTCTGTCTGTCTGTCTGTCTGTCTGTCTGTCTGTCTGTCTGTCTGTCTGTCTGTCTGTCTGTCTGTCTGTCTGTCTGTCTGTCTGTCTATCTATCGATCGATCCAGATCTCGCTAGGACTGGAGCCTTGTCAACGTCTGTCTATGCTTTCAATGTCCAGATCTCGCTAGGACTGGAGCCTTGTCAACGTCTGTCTATGCTTTCAGTGTCCAGATCTCGCTAGGACTGGAGCCTCATCAACGTGTCCGCAACTAGGTAGTTATGTAAGTTTTACCCCACTAGAACATCACACAAGCGATTAACACCCGGTGGCACAAGGTGTCACCTGCGGATGAGGATCATCCGTGGAGAGGTCTCGGAAACCCTTTCAGCCGATGGGCCATATTTATGGCCTGGCTATATTTATGGCACCCATGTTACGTGAAAGGGGCACATCAGGAAGGGAATGATGAGAGTAAAGAAAGAAATGATTGCAGAAAGGATGAAGGCTGGGCGTCTGAGAAAAAAATAAACATAAATGTTGACAACGATGGTCCTGAAATTCCATGCTATAATTGTGGAAGACTTTTCTTGACACGGACGGGTCTTGCTAGTCACACTCGCCATCGCCATGGACTGTGAGTCCTGTGCCTCCTCATAGCGCAATCTAGCACTATCGTCTGGGAAGACGGAAAAGGCCAATAATCAATAACTTCTACTCAAAGCATCAGCTAGAGCATGGGAGATTGTAACTGGCCCGGTCACATCGTTTCGGACCCAGCTCATGCGTAGAACAACTGGTTGGTCTGTGTGTGGGTGGCGATTGTAATGCCCTCACGGTCGGTTGGGGTAGGGTTGCCAACCAACTCTGGGCTAAACTGCTTGCTGCATGTTGGAATTTATATTAAAGACGGGTGTGTCTGCTCTGCCGGTATTGTAAGGGGTGTTTAACGTTTAGACCTTTTCTGTCACGGATCTGCCAATGAGCCATTTGTCTTGACGGCAATAAGACAGTATCTTGACACTCATTACAAAGATGTGAAACACTGGCCAGGACGGGGATCCTGTAAGTGGGTGGATCCCACTATAGAGGTTGCAAGCACTGGCTAAGATGGGGATTTCGTAAGTGGATCGACCCCCTACATAGTCTTGAAACACTGTCCATGATGGGGATCCTGTAGGTGGGTAGGCAGGGTGGTGAATCCAGTCTGTGGATGGACCTAACCCCAGAGGCTTGAAACACTTGCCAGGGTAGTGGATCCAGTCTGTGGATGGGCGCCACTACAGTAGACGCTATAAGACAATGTTCTTTAAGTTGTAGGCCGTAGACCACCGCAGGACGGCCTTGTCATGTAACAGTGTAGGGTAGTCAATTTTTCTCTTCCAGGATTGAAGTCTGTAAAACAAAAAATAATCCAACAGAGACACAAAATGGATGTATTTGCAGAGCTTCGTCTATTAGGGAAAACGCTCATGCCAAATATCAGTGTCCAACCTTTTAGCAGTAAGTGTCGCACCAGCCATAAAAATGATTTTTTTTTTTACTTCTGTTTTGTAAATGCTATCGACATTTGATTTTAGTTTCTCTGTGAGGTCAGCTGTCAGCTGGGCCCTTAAGGAACTCCCACTGTTTTGGTGGGCCATGAAGGAACTCCCACTGTTTTGGTGGGCCATGAAGGAACTCCCACTGTTTTGGTGGTCCATGAAGGAACTCCCACTGTTTTGGTGGGCCATGAAGGAACTCCCACTGTTTTGGTGGGCCATGAAGGAACTCCCACTGTTTTGGTGGGCCATGAAGGAACTCCCACTGTTTTGCTGGGCCGCCGGTGAAAAAACTGCTATAGACATTTATTGCCTGTTTGACTATTTCTAACGCCGTCTGTCCCGTTCGCTCCACCCCCTCTCCCCGACCCATCCCCAACCCCCACAAAAAGGCAAGAACGCTCAAGTTATCTGTTACTCTCAGAACGTTTGCTAAGAAAATACAGATTGTTGATTTCACAGAATCTTACACAGGATGTGTCACTTTCGATTGCCTGTTGGTAACAGTAATTTGAAGCTGGTGGCTTAAAGACGACATGTAACTGTATGCTCCACACCTCAGCACACAGATTACCTGGATAACTGGTTAGACTGAATGAAGATTATCTATTTATTTAACCAAATGAGAATTTGGTAAATTCTCACCGAAAACTACCGGTCTTGTTCTCAATACGGGCGCTATTTTGTTTTTTAAATTAGCTATACTTAAGTAGTCGGCTCTGTGGCTAAGTCTATGCGAACGCTTCGTAATGCCGGATGCCGGGTTCGGTCTCAGCTGCGGGCCATGCGCCTTACCTTGGTTTCCACAGTGGGATCAAGAAAGCCAACCGTTCAGTAAGCAATGGCAAACTACTGGACGTTAATTTGCCTAGAAAACCACACAACAGCCAGGAGCTGTTGGGGTAGGTTCTGCAACGTCTTGTAAAATAATCGCAACTAACCTTTACGTAAGTACTTTTACACCAGTAGAGGGAAAACTTTACTTCACATCGGAAAACTTGCCCCACGGTTATGGTTTTAAGTGAAGTTTTCGCTCCACTTGTGTAGTACTACTAACTCTATTTTAACAAAAATCTTTTCAATTCTAACAAATAATTTTTTTAATGTAAACAAAATATATTAGAGTGTTGTCCGTTTTTTAACACGACCCTGGGCCATTCTAAACGTTGCCATTTGAATGTTGGGCTATGTTTGAGTCACGTCATGAAGCATCGGGTATAATTAGAGTTGAGAACTGAAGAGTTCACCTGTCTTGAGTTACAAGTTATTCGTTGAGATACCTTCACAGCACTCCGGACATGTCCATAGATGCTCAGACTTCCTCTGTGACATATACATCAGCGAAGCGTGGTTAAAAGTGCCAGTCTTATGGTGGTTAACCAGATTTCTTTTACGTCGGGTGTGCCTCTCATGCTTGGTTGTGCCGACCTCTACTCCCAATTCTCATATTCTCAGCACTGACGTGGACACGTTGCTTCCACAATCCTTATGTCGTCCTATCTCTTTAAGGTTGGCCATCTGCAACTAATGCAGAACCGGTCAATATATTAGCTCTTTCATTGCCAACAAACTTGTCACTTATCATGTTTCTATCCACTTTCTGTCTGCATAATCTCGTGTACCAATATAATCATATGTGGAGATTATGTTCCAGCTGATGGATGCAGCTCGGCCAGGCTTTGGTCACGCCGTTTACAAGCACAGGTGAGCCCAGTACACATACTGCTATTGGGAGCGTCAACCGTTATTTTTTCACATACTGCAGCCGAAAACTAATGAAGTTGCAGCATCACTTTCCCCATCTAGACAATTTCCTCACAGCTGTTGACAATTTTCTAGTGCCCATATCTATAGGCTGGGTCGGCCCCAGAACTCCACTTTTGGTAAAGAATAGTCATGGGCCTGGTTTGCATCGAACCAGACCACTGGCCTTGTCAAGAAGAGGTACAATCGTTTCGTGGTCTAAGAAAGAGAACACTTGCGGTGTCACGACAAAATCTGTTATAGAGATATGGTGAGACAATTTGTTTTGGCCTTCGTGGTTATAGCATAGACCTGATGGCCAGTACGTGACACCTAACGCACTTTATCGTGTGGGTCTTTGAGTTCCTAGAGTCATCATCTGGTTGTAGAGTGGGTCAGATCTCGGAACCCTCTTGGCGAGGCGACCCATCTACCGACTATGTGCTCAGTGTGCCCTACGTTTCAAAGCATGACATGCATTTCCCTAGCTGCCAAGTTCCAATAGCAGTCGTGCACTCCCCACTGGTGCACTCCCCGTTGGTGCACTCCCCGATGGTGCACTCCCCGCTGGTGCACTCCCCGCTGGTGTACTCCCCACTGGTGCACTCCCCACTGGTGCACTCCCCACTGGTGCACTCCTCGCTGGTGCACTCCCCGCTGGTGCACTCCCCACTGGTGCACTCCCCGCTGGTGCACTCCCCGCTGGTGTACTCCCCACTGGTGCACTCCCCACTGGTGCACTCCCCGCTGGTGCACTCCCCGGTGGTGTACTCCTCGTTGGTGCACTCCCCACTGGTGCACTCCCTGCTGGTGCACTCCCCGCTGGTGCACTCCCGGCTGGTGCATTCCTTACTGGTGCACTCCCCGCTGGTGCACGCCCCGCTGGTGCACTCCCCGCTGGTGCACTCCCCGCTGGTGCACTCCCCGCTGGTGCACTCCCCGCTGGTTTTTGCTCTCAGAGAAGGCACAAAAGAGCTCCTTAGCACCATGCTCCCTGTTCGCTACCAGTGACTGTCTGTTAGCAACGCCTCGTGGAGATGGTTAATTGTACAATGGCTTGAACTGCCGGTCAACCGGGTCTGTTGGACTGCATGTCAACCCGTTCTGTTGGACTGCATGTCAACCCGTTCTGTTGGACTGCTGGTCAACCCGGTCTATTGGACTGCTGGTCAACCGGGTATGTTGGACTGCCGGTCAACCCGGTGTGTTGGACTGCTGGACAACCCGGTCTGTTGGACTGCTGGACAACCCGGTCTGTTGGACTGCTGGACAACCCGGTCTATTGGACTGCTGGACAACCCGGTCTATTGGACTGCTGGACAACCCGGTCTGTTGGACTGCCGGACAACCCGGTCTATTGGACTGCCGGTCAACCCGGTCTATTGGACTGCTGGGTCTATTGGACTGCCGGTCAACCTGGTCTATTGGACTGCCGGTCAACCGTGTCTATTGGACTGCCGGACAACCCGGTCTAACATTTTACAAGAGAACTTTTCAGCAAGTAAAGGCAACCGCCATGATCTTGACACACTTTCCTATCGAAAGCTGGTTGGCGATATGAATGCAGACAGCACTATATACCCAATGTGCATTATTTCGTAGAAATGGTCCCCCTTGCCTGTCGCCAAACATAGAGTAGACAAAGTCAGTAAAGTTACGGGCCTTTTTTACGCCTTCAGGTCTGTTGGACACATAGGGCTAGACCCATAATATAGACCAATCAGCATTCGGTGCGTGATGTGGTCAGCATCACGCCGGCTGCCTTTATTTCCCAAGACTTCGCCTGGTACTCATTTGAGACTGTGTCAGCCTGGGAGCCAAGGTCTTTTCTTGAAGTGCAGCTCAGAGATGTGTAGCTTCAATCGTCTTGGCTGGCCACACGCCAAAACCAACTTCACATGTCACTGATGACACTTTTATATTCTGGTAGATAGGTACTATGCGATATCATTGTTACATTTCCATACATATACAAGTCATACAGAAATACACACAGAATGAACAGCGAAAGCAAGCTGTTAAAATTGCTTGTTTTTCCGTTAGCGTTAAATTTAGTATAAAATATTTACGACTGCAAAGTGATTACTTCTGCAGATAATATCGGAGTGTGTCCCCTTACAGCTACAGTCAGCTTGTACTGATCGAATCACTGAGAATCTGTATGACCGCCGTTTGAGTCTGTTAGTTTCGTATCTGGAATACGCTGGAAAAATCTCTCTTCTGTTATGAAACAGGCAGTGAATTTAAAATCACTTGTGCTTGAACCAACGAGGGGATAGAGCGTCGCCTCTCTACAACCCGCACAGGGTCGAATTATTATGGTTTCTATATGAGTTAACTAGAAGATGCATCATTTCTGTATGAGCCAACCAGTAGGTAAAGTACCACTTCTGTGTGAGTCAGCCAAACGACATACTGTCGCATTCCCAAGAATCAAGGAGCAGATGTAATATTACTTCTGAGGCAACAAATTACAATGATATTTTTTGTCTGTGGGACAGTTTCATGCGCTATGGACAAGGCAAGAAATGTAATTCCTGTGTGATCAAACTAACTGGAATATTATCATCGACATATTAGTCAACAAGAGAAGCACAGCTTGTCTGGGTCAGAGATAAAAGTGGCATCTCATCTAAGCCAATGATTTAATGGCGAATTCAAGTCTCCACCACGAAGGGAAAATAACATAACGACCAATGGATCGACCTAACCTGTGACATTTTATATGTGTATATGTGAGCCAAATACTGCAGATAGGATTATCTTCTGGGTTATTCATAATAAACTGTTGCATGCGTTGATCTGTGGCCATTCATTTCAGAGCAGCCTGTGACGCAACGTGCAAGCTGCATCCTTCTAAGAAAGCCTTCCACTGATTTTAACTATGTGGCTTGAAGTTGCCAGCCCTTCAGAAGATTCGAGGACATATAGCTGATGTGCAACAGCTTCTCAAGCAACAGGAATACAAAACCGATAACGAAAGCCGAGGTACTGCTTCTACGAAGGCATCCAGGATGTCCGACAACTCGACCACTGGTCAGCGGAATTATACTAGAGCTGACCTGGAAGCCGTCAACGATGCACGAGCTAGGGAACAGATTCCAGTGATGACCATTCTAGCAATAATGATGTTGGTGGGTATCGTGGGCAACGGTCTGGTGTGTTATGTCTTCTGTTGTCGGCTTAAGACTGGGACTCAGAACTTTCTGATTGTGTGCCTGGCCGTGCTGGATCTGCTCAACTGTATCATCTGCATGCCCACTGAGATCGCCATTATAAGGTTCTATTACATCTTGGAGTCTGTAGGCACATGCAAGATAATGAGGTTTGTACCTGTTTTATTATTCAGAGATTATTGCATGTTTATAATGCTTGAATAAGATTTTATTGCATCATTTAATTTAGAGGTTATTGCAAGATTATGAAGGTTGGATATGTGATATTGTACCGCTTGGTCCAGAAATGTTTGCAAGATTTGCAAGGTTTGTGTGTGTTCTGTTGTACCATTGTGTTAGTAGGTTCCTGTGAGATTATGCTATCGTGTGTGTTAGATTGCATCATTGAATCCATCACTGAATCTATCATTGAATCTATCATTGAATCCATCATTGAATCCATCATTGAATCCATCATTGAATCCATCATTGAATCCATCATTGAATCCATCATTGAATCCATCATTAAATCCATCATTGAATCCATCATTGAATCCATCATTGAATCAGTCATTGAATCCATCATTGAATCCATCATTGAATCTATCATTGAATCTATCATTGAATTAGTCATTGAATCTAGAGATTTTTCTGCTCCCCTTCATTTTCTTTTTCTATTTATGTTTCTAGCTATTGCCGTGTGGCGTTAGCTTCGAGCTGAACTATTTATAAAACATATGTTATTCAATGTCATGATACAAACTTTAGAACAGCCTGCACCCCCGCCCGCACCATGCCGCCCCGCACATTCCCTTCCAACCTTTGTTTCGTCACAATTTGACCCACTTTACTTAACATGAAATGCCAAAACGAAAGAAGAGCATCTACTTCTGTTCATGATAATAACTTCTCTTCGTATTTCAGTTTTTTTCCGGACATCTTCCTGTTTTAACCTGGCTATGGTATTCCGGTAATTTCTGTAGAAATCCACATCTTGACAATCAGGGATCCACTCCCATATATCCGGTTCCAGCAACAACGTTGGCGATGATGATGACGATGATTTTGCCGCCGATGGTGTAAATGCTGACGAATGACGTCGATGATGACGTCGATGGTGGTAATGCTGATGAATGACGTCGATGGTGGCAATGCTAATGAATGACGTCGATGGTGGTAATGCTGATGAATGACGTCGATGATGATGACGATGAGGATGATGATATGTTAAAAGGAAACCACTTCATTTTTGAGGCAGGGCCGCCAGGTGTGAAACGCGTGACAACCGTAATGACACGGTGGACACATGACATGTGACATAAGCGATTACTGTACATTTGGTACAGGTTATAAATAAGACATAAATAAACATACACACTTTAAAAATACCTGCAGCAGACCATACACACAACACACATATAGACACACACTCAAATTCACATAATTAACGCAGACATAAACACAAACATACAAACCTGACATACACACAACACAGCACACAATCACATACAGTATATATACAAATACATACATACACATCCATGCATAGATACACACACACACACACACACACCGTGATAGTGTCTGTAGTATGCCTCGCGTGCACACACACACACACAGGCGCAGGCACACCAACAAGCACAGAAACAAGCACATCAAGGCAGCTGAACAGCTCTTGCAATAAGCTTCCCATTGTGAAAACAAACAGGACATTTGGAATTAACCGCACGAAAAAGATACGTATTTTTTCCGGACCCAAGCAGCAAATACAGACAAATTACCACCGATAAGTTACCACAAACAAGTTACTACAGACAAATTACCACCGATAAGTTACCACAAAAAAGTTAGTACAAACAAGTTACTACAAACAAATTACCACAAACAAGTTACTACAAACAAATTACCACCGATGAGTTACCACAAACAAGTTAATACAAACAAGTTACTACAAACAAATTACCTCCGATAAGTTACCACAAACAAGTTACTACAAACAAATTACCACCGATAAGTTAACACAAACAAGTTACTACAAACAAACTACCACCGATAAGTTACCACAAACAAGTTACTACAAACAAATTACCACCGATAGGTTACCACAAACAAGTTACTACAAACAAGTTACCACAAACAAGTTACTACAAACAAGTTACCACAAACAAGTTACTACAAACAAGTTACTACAAACAAGTTACTACAAACAAGTTACCACAAACAAGTTACTACAAACAAGTTACTACAAGCAAATTACCACCGATAGGTCACCACAAACAAGTTACTACAAAGAAGTTACTACAAACAAGTTACCACAAACAAGTTACTACAAACAAGTTACCACAAACAAGTTACTACAAACAAATTACCACCGATAGGTCACCACAAACAAGTTACTACAAACAAGTTACTACAAACAAGTTACCACAAACAAGTTACTACAAACAAATTACCACCGATAGGTCACCACAAACAAGTTACTACAAACAAGTTACTACAAACAAGTTACCACAAACAAGTTACTACAAACAAGTTACCACAAACAAGTTACCACAAACAATTTACTACAAACAAGTTACTACAAACAAGTTACTACAAACAAGTTACTACAAACAAGTTACTACAAACAAGTTACTACAAACAAGTTACTACAAACAAGTTACTACAAACAAGTTACCACAAACAAGTTACCACAAACAAGTTACCACAAACAATTTACCACAAACAATTTACTACAAACAAGTTACTACAAACAAGTTACTACAAACAAGTTACTACAAACAAGTTACTACAAACAAGTTACCACAAACAAGTTACTACAAACAAATTACCACCGATAGGTCACCACAAACAAGTTACTACAAACAAGTTCCTACAAACAAGTTACTACAAACAAATTACCACCGATAGGTCACCACAAACAAGTTACTACAAACAAGTCACCACAAACAAGTTACCACAAACAAGTTACCACACACAAGTTACCACAAACAATTTACTACAAACAAGTTACCACAAACAAGTTACCACAAACAAGTTACCACAAACAAGTTACTACAAACAAGTTACTACAAACAAACTACCACCGATAAGTTACCACAAACAAGTTACTACAAACAAATTACCACCGATAGGTTACCACAAACAAGTTACTACAAACAAGTTACCACAAATAAGTTACTACAGACAAATTACCACCGATAAGTTACCACAAACAAGTTACTACAAACAAACTACCACCGATAAGTTACCACAAACAAGTTACTACAAACAAATTACCACCGATAAGTTACCACAAACAAGTTACTACAAACAAACTACCACAGATAAGTTACCACAAACAAGTTACTACAAACAAATTACCACCGATAAGTTACCACAAACAAGTTACTACAAACAAACTACCGCCGATAAGTTACAACAAACAAGTTACTATAAACAAATTACCACTGATAAGTTACCACACACAAGTTACCACAAACAAGTTACCACAAACAAATTACATAACACACATGTTACCACAAACAAGTTACTACAAACAGGTTACCACAAACAAGTTACTATAAACAAGTTACTACAAACAAATTACCACAAAACAAATTACTACAGACTAATTACGAGTATATTTCTGGTCATTACATTATCCAAAATAATAGGAAAATGGGTAGGACGTTTACCTGCTTCCGCGGTCGGCGGGTGTTCAAATCAACAGTTACACAAGATTCGCTAGTCAAGAGGTTCTCGGACTGGGAGCGTATACCAGGGGTGCCACGGCAATAATCAAGAATTCGATAATTTTTTAATTTTTTAGAATCTGCTTGAGATCAGCGAAGACAGCAGTTTAAAACAGAAAGTCCATGAAGGAAGTCAAGAGGAATTCTGGATGCAGGTGTATTCAGAAAACAATGCTATTGGCAAGGCTGCAGTGCATTCACAACGTACGTTTACACACACACACACACACACACACACACACACACACACAAAACAGATACAAAAAAAAAACCAGATTCAAGTGATCTGAGGGTACAGTTAACTAAACCTTTCATAAACGTCATGGAAATAATTAAAAACATTTATCCAAACAGTTTTATTCATTATATTAAAGACAGATGAACTTTAAATTTTAACTGTTTTATTTTTCCGTTTCCGTTTTAAGTAGGACTGTGCCGAATATTCGCTTCGTATTCGATTCAAGGCCGAAAAGTAGACCTAATAACTATTCGGTATTCGGTCGAATACTTGCGGTGGGGCCGAATACGAATAGTGGTTACCTTACACTAGTTTTGCATACACTACGATGGTCTGAAATAACTCTCTCGTTAACATAAAAGTTGCTGTTGCCTAAGTCTGTCGTAGCGGGTGAACTGCGACCCGGTTGCGTGGAACAGCAGCTGGTAAGGTCTTTGTTTGCGGACTTGACCGAGGCATTACAGCAGAGGTTCTCAAACTGGGTGCGTATGCCAGGGGTGCCGCGACGAAAATCAAGAAAAGTCGGCTATAAATTGTGACATTATTAAAGAAGGCATAACGATTCTTAAAAGTTAAAATTTGAATTGTCTTTCCTCGCCACTGACGAGAAGAGTTTTTTTTCCTCCTTGTTTCACACTCAAAGTGTATCATACTGTATAAAATGCCAACCGCAGCGAGCTAAAAATTGTCTTTGTAATTATCTCGACGTGCGACTGATTCTCCATCTGTATTCATAAAGGTGCAGCGGATAAGTAAGGTTGTGATTACATTTTGGCTGACATTTTAAAGTGGAAAATGTGGTCTGTACAATAGTCACTGTTAGCCTCGTCAAGTAAGCACTTATATTTAAAAGTGAGTCCTGGACAATTGGTACTCAGGCCTAGCAATTTCTTGAGGCCTCAGAAATGTGGTTTTACAGAACGATGCTTAAAATACCGTGGACAGCCACACACACACAAAAAGAGAGAAAATGTTTTGAAAAAGGCTGGAGCCCGAAGACAACTAATCATAGTAGACATCAGAAGGAGACAGTCATCATTTTTCGGCCATGTTATGAGAAGAGGGAAAACGGAACATGTGGTGACCATTGGAAAGATTTGTGGAAGGAGGGATAGAGGAAGACAACGAGAGAAGATTCTTGACAGTCTTGTTGCATGGCATGGAGGTGTGTTGGTACACGAACTAAAACATGCTGCAG